GKRMACTTTTAAGATTTTGTTTTGTTTTGTTTTGATAAACACAGTTTCGTTGAACATGTTTGTTTCCACTGCTTTTGGTCCATCTCAAAGAAAAATACCTAAGAAATAAAACCTTACATTTGGAGAAGGATAAGCCAACTCGCTAATTAACTGCCCCTGGGGCAGACACCAAAAACCGAAACAACAACATCAACAACAAAACATACGCGTGTTTGCAGTTTTCGCATAAATAAAGAAATTAAACCCAAAAGCTGTGGAAACTATAGGTTTTCATTTCATTTGCTACAAAACTGTACTGTGCATTGAAGTCCGAGGTGACCGAAACGCAATATAATTTGACATCTTAAATGTCATATTCGACGAGCCTGCATTTGAAGATTTATTTAATTCAGTTCGGTTTTACAAGATACATAGGTTAAATTTAAATAGCAACTAAATGCAGTACAGCATAGGAATAAGGAGAAAAAATATAGCAATAGAATAGGTAGCGAGTTAGGATCATCCAAATAGCAAAGGCTAATCTAGTGGATGACCCTTAATTATAAAATACAGTCAAGGGCAATATTAAGAATATATATATATATTTTTTTAAAGATGAAACAATTTTAGTGTAATAAAAAAATCCGAGCCCCAGATGGGAGATATATGTTTTTTAATTTTTTTAAAAAGTATTCCTTCATGCACTAAGGTAGATAATAAAAAAGAGTAATAATTAAGTTTAGAGTTCTTCAGGGTTTTACGAAATATTCTAAGAGAATTTGAATTAGTTATACTTGTAGGTAAGGAATTCCAAAGGCGAGGGCCAGTGAATAAAACATTAGCGTTTTCAACAAGCCAATAGAGTAAAACAGAATATAACTCTTCTCAAAGATGCACAGTAAGTATGTTTAATACCTGCCCCAGGGTTGCATTCCTCCGACAGATCCGTCAGATCGGACGCGGCAAGCGCATGATTGTACATATAAAACTCGTCGATAAGTCCTCGTATCCCTTCGGGAATTCCGATCCCAACTTCCCCATCCCAATTCTGCGAAAGCAATCCATGGCCTTCTCTTTCGTCCAGAACGGCTCCATTCAAAATAATCTTGCTCATGTTGATGTGTGCGTCATAAGTAACACTAAGATGTATCCAATCTAAGGAGTCTACAGTCTGCCTCGTTGCCATGCTGAATATCACGTGTCCTAAGTCATCGACGTGAGACCAGTGAATGTTGCCATCGCGGTACTGTAGGTTGTACTTGGCTCCAGACCCCGTGGTACTGAACAAAGTGGCTGTTCCTGAGACCGAGTCTAGCTTGAGCCACAATGTGATCGTTATCGCTTCACGTGGACGACTGTTGAAACGGGTAAAAAGTAAACGTCCACCTTGCATGCTCAAGGCAGACCCGCATTTGGATTCGGTTACTGAGAGGCGCACCTCTGGACTAAGAATGGCATTGTTCTTGTGCTCTGAGCTGTCGAGAGCTGTGCGATTTTCGATTTGCTCAAAGCCTATATGAAGCACCAGGTAAGCTGCGTTACCTGGATAACAACAACAAAAAAGAACATATTTAAATATGCATGTAACGCCACTGTGTTTAAACACGTTTGTGAGCAAATGTGTAGCAAGGCCTAATTAATGCGGCGTGTTGGTGAAGAAAAAAAAAAGAAAAGAAAAAATGAAAAACCTCGGAGCAAGGAAGAGAGCAAACGAACCCAAAGAATTTAGCCCGCGCTACAACAGAGGGAGACGAGTGGTTTTACTTGCTCACTGACATTCCTGTTCTCCTGTCTGAGCGATTAACAGTTCCACTATTAGGATCAAAAATATAAAGTCATCTTGGGGTTAAATCAAACAGTATCCCTCAAACTGTACCTTGATTGGAACATGAAAATTGGGTGTTATAGGGTTAAAACAGAAAACAATACATATATTTACATTGATAACAGTGTCCTTTTTTCATTAGTTTGTTTCCTTTTCCTCTTATGATAATTAAAAAGAAGTTAAAAAAAGATAACCTCGACAACTATATACACTGGAATACGATTGTGTTGACGTTAAAACAAACCTTTCGGTAACTAGTGGAAAATATAATATATATGGTCGGTCACAGTTACCAAAGTCCTTTTTCCTAATGGCTGTAGGCTGTTGATTAAGCTCTCCCGGACAGCACAGCAATGCAAGAGCTCTTAAAGATCTCTTACAATGTTATGCTATCCGGTCAAACCGGCTTTAAAAGATATGAGAGAGCGGAGGAGCACAAACTGTTTTAAAAATCATCTTGGTTCTGGTTTTTAAAGTAGCACGCACTCTAATCTAATAATTGGTGTCATTTATGTAAATATCAATTAAATAAATATATAATTTGAATATATCAACAAAGTTGAAATGGTAAATTGGCCACCGTTACGATTATAAAAGCTGACGTTTCGAGCGTTAGCCCTTCGTCTTTCGCTCCGACGAAGGGTTAACGCTGGAAACGTCAGCTTTTATAATCGTATCGGTTGCCAATTTGCCATTTCAACTTTGTTGATATATTTAAATTATTTCGTTACCCCCACCGACGCAGCCCCAAACAGTTTCTTTAGAAACTATCAGCCTTTACTCAAATAAATATATAGAACGTTCTATGCTATAAATTATATAAAAAAGAATTGATAATAAAAATTAAAAATAAGACATCACAAAATTGTAGAAGTGACTTGATTATCTTGAAAGCAGCATTTTTCAAAAACTCTAGATTTTAATTTAGAAAAATTTAAAATGTTGTATTGAAATAGATTGTAATCAATGATGGAAAAAGAAGCATTAAGTCGGTGAGCCCATTAAATTGTTAACTTCAATAACGATTGAGGTAAAGCACTAACAGAAAAAGGAAAACTAGTTTATCTTATCTTTACCTAATTTTGTTAATTATCAGTAGTTAATATACAAGAGCAGCATACGAAGCTTAAGAAAAAAACTAAAATAAAAAAGATATAATTTCATACCTTCATTCGTTGCAGGAATGGTAACCTTTTTCCTTCCGCCTTGCAACTTGGGCCTCTGTTCATCAAACCGATGTGTGAATTTAAACATTTCGCGTAGCTCTTGCTTTCCTGGTTCCTCGGGTTGCGGCCTTTGATGGACAAAACGGGATCTTTGCGGTAATGACATCCTTGATGGGGGTTTGACGTCCGCCGGGATGGAATCAGGCGAGAATTGTCCACTGATCTCATCACTGTTAGGCACCTCAGTGGGAAGATTTAAGTCAATATCTTTTACCAATGAAGATTTCGCGTGGGGCTTTCTGTCTTTGAGAAGAGGCATATCTGCCACAGTACCGTTGGGGTCTGATATTTCCTTCTGCGACCAAGGTTTAGGCACATTGACACGTCTACTTGGCTTAGTCTGTGGCTCAGTAAACTCCTCTGTGACCTGTTTGACGACACTGTCTGCCACATTGTCAATTAGCCGTTGTAAGCTATCAGTGTTGCCCCCTTTTCCCTTTGTGAGGATCGGGTGCTTTGCTTCGATTTCCTCGACTATCTTGTCAATGAAAGACTGGTTCACAGTGGGATGTTTCGAAGATATCTTGTTCGCCAAAATACCACTTTGTTTAGTTGGGTCATCGCGTAGCGCTTTACGAGGTTCTGTTGGGCTGAGTTTATTACGATAACGGCGACTTTGATCTTGAGAACGGATTGGGACTTGATGGGTAGTTCTGGGTCCGTAATCTAAGATAAGAGATTGAAAAAATCAAGAATTTAAAAATTATTTACCATTTTCCTTTGTTGCGTCCTGTCCAAAATTACATAAACCAAAAAATAAATCAATTCTATTCGGGACAGAGGTTTGGGAAAATGAACAAACCGGCTTGAGTTCAGGTCGCTTTCGACTTGTACAGTGGCGAAGCTTCGTAAATTGATTCTATCCGACAGCTTTAACAACCTGCTTTCGATATCCACGTTTCTTACATGGGAATTTCTCAAATTGCAGATCAGACAATATATAACAGGTACCCACCGGTTTCATTAACTTGTGGCTGGGATTGCGAACCTGTCAAACGGCTGGTCGACGGATTTGAATTCTTACTTGTTACCAGGCCATTTGTAACCGCACTTCTCCCTGGCTGCCGAGGAATATAAGACCGCTGGTGTTTGTGCTTTTCGGCCTTTTCTTTAGTCTATTCTGCTTTTCTCTGTGCTTTCCTTTGGTTACGGTACATTTTCTTCATATTCTTATAAATTTGCCTCATCTCCTTCAGAAGGGCTTCTTCACGGACGTTTTCACGATGTATTTTTTGTTTTTCCGACTGATTTTTTCTTCTTCTGTTAGTTTTCCCCGTTTGGGTTCTATCTTTCGCGTTATGAAGGCGACGGGATTTCTCACTCTTGTGTCCTGTTTTTCTGGGTTTTATATTACCCGATGTTCTGATATTCCTTCTCTTATACAGCCACTGCACCCGGCTGTAGATTGTCTTAATGTAATCCATCAGGCCCTCCCCGTGACTCTGCGGTGACGTACCCGAACCCCCCAAATCATCCGTTATGTATTGCTTCACAACCCTTACTTTCTCAGGAAGGGTTGTAATCCTTGAGGCTCGAGTAGTTGAACTTAAGGCTGATACAGGTGGCGTCGGAATAGCTTCTTCAAGTCTCCTAATATGGTTATTTTCTACTTCATGTCTTCCTCCTGTCTGTTCGTTGAAAGATACCAGCGTTGTATTACTTTCTTTCTTCGAATGTTCTTCAAGAAGATTCTCTAAACGTTTATAAATGTTGTTTATTTTCATGTATACCGCGTCGAAATCTGTTTTTCCATGACTATAGTCCGCTTTTGTGACCTGCTGCTTTGCGTTACCTTTATCATGAGTTCCAAGCAAATTCTTGTTTGCTTCAGAAAAGTCGTTTTTGACAAAAACAGGTCTTTCGATGCTATGCTCTGGGCGAGATTCTTTAAAGTTCTTGTCTAATTCAGCAAATTCCGACGAAGTCGGCTCAACGGATTTAGAATCGGTTGGGTCAAATTTGTGCTTCTTTCGCGAGCTATCTTGCACTGTATTTTCCCGGTCCCACACGATGCCATAATCGGCATCGGGATCATCGCCAGTTTGATGTAGTTGGTGAATTACATCCTCGTTCTTACTTCCGCTCTTTCTGTGGTCATTCCATCGAAAACCATTAATGTGAGTGGGTACTGTTTGCTCACGGAAACTTCCCAAGTACTCTTTGTTCCTAGTTTTTATACTACTCCACTCAGGCTCATCCAAATCTTCCGGATTACTTTGAACATCAATATGCATTGTATCCGGACTTGCTTCTTTGTTCTTTCTCTGGTTACCGAGATGGAATCGTGACTTATGTGTTGGATCTATTTGCTTGTGAAAGCTTCCAATACGATCTTCGTTTCTATTTTTTGTATCACCCCACACTCGTACTCCGCTGTTACCTAACTTGTCCTCATTATTAATATAGATTTCATCCTCGTCTCCCTTACCACTCACTTTCTTGTTTTCGTAATCAAAACGCAATTTATGAGTCGGGGCTACTTGATCGTAAAAGCTTCCTATATGATCTGTGTTTTTATTGCTTGTACTACCTCGCCACAAATTTCTTTCGGAGTGCTTTGAACTGACGTTGCTGTGCTCGAAATGGAATTTATCTTCATTATCATTATTGCTTCCACTTTTTTCATCCAACCAGAACTCCCTTTGACGAGAAGGAGCCACTTGCATGTGGATGTCTTCCTCTATGTCACTGTCAGTGGCACTCGAACCTACCCACTCAATATTTTCAGGCGCTCTTTCTTCTTTCTCTTTTTCTGCGCGAAATTCTTCTTTTTCGCCACGATCCTTTCTCTGGTTTCTAAAATGGAATTGTGACTTATGAATTGGAGTGACGTGATCTTCAAAGTTTTCCATATTATCTTCGTCCCTATTTCCTGAGCTCCTCCATGAAAATCTTGAAGAATATTCTGGGTTATCTTCTTTTTGGATATGAAAATCATTTTCTGAACTTTCCTTGTTAACGTGTTTTTGAGGTAAACGAAAAAGTTCAGTTTTTATTTCTTTGTGCTGGTGGCTCTTGACATCGTTTTCTCTATTCCCCAAATTAATCAGTTCGTGCCTCTCCGATGACTTTAGCTGGTGAAATTCATTTTGTTTTTTCCCATCTTCATTTCTTTCGCTTTCGAATTTGAAATGCGATGCATGGATGGGAGAGATTTGCTTCTGATACCTTCCCAGATGGTCTATGCTGCTATTTCTTGCATTAGTCCAGATTTGTTTTTCAGGTTCCGTAAGCTTTTTAAGATTATCGATATGGAATTCGTCTTTGTTCGTGTGCTCCTCGCCTTCTCTAATTGTCAAATTATTTCCACGAGGAGGGGTCTCCTGCTTTTGAATCTTCTCCGAACTTTCTCTGTTACCAACTCTAGCACCAAACCACTCACGGTTTCCAGGGTTTTTCGCGTCATCATACTGTCCAGGATCGAAATTATCTTTGTCGGTGTTTTCTTTTGCATCTTGGCTCTTAAAGACGAAGTGTGGTGCACCACTAGATACCGTTTGATCATGATAATGTTCCCTGGAATCCTTATGGTCATTGTCAGAATTGTTCCAAATGGTCTCTTCTGGTTCGTCGGCACTGTTATCGTCTTCGTCGTTTTCAGGCTGTCCGTACATAATCTCAGAGCCTTCTTGGACTTCACCGTCCATTTTCTTGTTTGGTTTGCTCGTGTATCTAACTTTACTCGCAGGATTATAAATGACATGCTCTTCAATATCGTGTTCATTTGTAGGATCCCAATGTTTTCGCATGGGCTTTGAAATATGCCGCTCTTTCTTAGTGGTTCGAACCCTTGGCTTATTCTGTCGAAGTTTCTTTGGCGGCTTTTTACTCTGGAATGAATGGATACTATGCTCTTCAATACGATGTTCGTCTGTAGGCGGATAGACAGGGGGTCTGTCCGTGTCCACCAATACCACTCGTTTCTGCGCATTGGAGTCTATTCCGGATCCAGCCTCTCCAATCCTTTCTTCGTGTACAACGTTTCTTGTCAGATGCCAGGCTTTTCTTCTTCTCGCTATCTTTTCTGTTTTCTTTGGTTTCTCTGCTGCTTCTTTGCCTCTGCTCGAAGCATCAGACGTTATTTCCTTTTCATTACCTTGCTTGAACTGTTTAGCGACAAGAACTTGAATTTCTCCCTCAAGACGTTTATTCTCTTGTGTGACGTTAGTTAGCTTATTTAAAACAAGATCAATCTTTTCATCTGCCTGGCTTCGGTTATGGCCTTTTATTCCAAGATTATGATCGTTGTATAGACGTTTTCTTGCATTCGGAGGATGGAGAGTAACACTTATATTTTTGCTGTTGTTGTGCTTAGCTTGTAATTTCGTCTTCCCAGCCTTGTTAATTCTATTACGATAAGTGACAGTGTTTTCAGGGACCTCCACAAATACCTCATCCACTGTTTCGGTGTTATTTTTTACTTGGTTGAAATCCTTTTTGTAAGAATTGCTGGCTGTCCTATTTAACCGCACCTCCTTGTAGTGCACGGCATTCACCAGTTGTTTTCCCACAAACGATCCGGGATCAGCAAGAGAAGAGTTAAACTCTGATGGTTTGATCACCCTTGTGGAATTATTCTTAATAAAGTATACAACCTTCGGATTAAACCTGGACTTTCTCGCCGGTACGATCTCACAGGCGTAACCGCTGATACAAGTCACTGTGAAGCAGTTGTTGAGAAACATGAACGTTAAGTCACAATTACGTTGGCTACAACAGTAATCAACGCACTGACTGGTAGAATTTACTTTGCCATGTGGAGTAAAATTTCCAGCTTTGTAGCCCATTCTGAGGGTAACTTCTTCATAAACTTCAGAATGCGCACACGTCTTGTTCTTGCTGGTCTTCGATTTTGTTCGCGTCTCATCTTCGATTTCTTCAAGCACGTCGTTAATGGGCGGCAAAGTTGTCACTGTTTTGGGTGTCGGTTTAAAATGGTGATGGTATACGTGTACTACTGTTGGGTTGAAGTTCGGCAGAAGCGAAGGAGTAGAACTGCAGAGATACTCATCGAAACATTTCACCAAAAAACATCGATGAAACGCGAAAAATGCCACGTCACATTCACCCGACTTACAGCAAAGTTCAGTACAGATATGGGAACCATTGACTCTACCAGCGTCCGTGAATTTTCCTGCATGAAGACCACCTCTTAAGGTAACATTGTGTTCCGTTATCGAAGAAATGCAACCTGTAGGAGTTGGCGGATACACCATGGAAACTTGATCGACCTTCCTTGTTGTTGTTGCTGTTAAAGTCGTGTTAAACGGTTTAGTATACATATTTGCTACACCTTTAGAGCTTGTTTGATTGGCCACGTTTTTGACAGCTGCCCTCCCTTTCATCACCATAACATTTTTAGATAATACTGGAGGAACATTAGGTGTCGGAGCTGGGACAAGTTTTATCTGTTCGACTGACGCAGCTTCCGTCCCATGATCGGTCAGTTCCTCGGTTTCACTTCGCGAAACGCGTGAAATCATCGGATTAAAGGTCGTCGCCAAGGCTGGTATGCTGTCACACATGTGGGGATTAGAACTTGAACAAGTAACCAAAAAGCAGTGGTTAAGTACCATAAACGCTAAATCACAGATAGGACTGGCACAGCAGTGCTCCGAGCAATTACGAATGTCGTTCACTTTGCCCACCTCGTGAAACAAACCCGAAGAAAGTCCGCCTCGTAATGTCCGGTTATATTCTACTACACCTGTCACACAACTTGAGATTTCAACATCAGGAGCTGGGGTGGGTAGGGTAGGTACAGTGGACTTCGTTGCGCGAAATTTGTGTCTGTGATACAACAAACCTTTAGGTGGCATAACTGTGGGCTTCTGCGGGGTACTGAAACGTGTTGTAATTGCAGTGTGACTTGGGGGCCGTTGCCTATGTACGGTTGGTCTTCTCACGTGTTTAAGAAAATCTTTGCTTGTGGCATGGGTAACTATTACCTTAGCTGTTGGTTTGTGGTGCCTGGCCTTCATATAAAAGCTGTTTTCAACTCTAGCTTTATTGCGAGTCTTGATTACCGTGGAATTTGCCTCTTTTGTTGAAGTATAGCTGCCTTCGTGTTCGATAGACAAGGGGCGTCCTTGCGGGTGGGGAGCTGCTGTT